CCAATCAAAACAGGAGAGACCTTGGGAGTTAAGGTTTACGATGTAAATCATAAAAGGGAGAGAGCATCCTTGAATATAGGTAGCTGGGAAGATAATGAGTGGCCCCCTCAACGTATTATTAATTATTATGGACCTACTACTTGGGCAGAAGATGGCACTTATGGATATAGAACTCCGATTATATATGCTCAACCGCATTATTAGACTACAGGCGGTAGTTGAGATTATTACTAATGAGACAGCTCAAGTGCTTAATCTTCTAGCTAAGCAAAATACCAAGATGTGATCAGCCATATACCAGAATAGGCTAGCCCTTGATTACTTACTAGCAGTAGAAGGAGGTGTATGCGGAAAGTTTAATCTAAGTAACTGTTGTCTGCACATAGATGATGAAGGGCAGGCAGTGGCTGAACTTACAAGCCACATGGTTAAATTTGAGCATGTACCTACTCAGGTCTGGAATGGGTATAACCTAAGTAGTTGGTTTGGAAGTTGGTATGAGCAGCTTGGAGGAATTAAGACATTAGTAGGAGGAGTAGAATTTATTATTTTTTTTTGTGCCTCCTCCTGCCCTGTCTAATTCCACTAGTGGTAAGGTCCCTACGTAGTATTATAGAGAGTACTAGAGAGAAAGACAGCGGCTCATGTAATGGCTGTCTGGAAGATATGATCCCCTAGCCCGAAGAGAATATATTCAGGATGAAGAATGTTGAAGGAGTTTTTAAGATGCTTACAAGGTCTACTCTGGTTCAATGGCTACTTGAGAGATGTAGGTAAAACTGTGATTGGTGATGCATCTGGAATAATGTTATATCAGAGGCATCAAAGGGGGGAATGTGATGGGATTCCAGCATGGTCAAAATTTAGTAGGCCAAAATCTCCATGTGGCATATGTGTATGTTGTGTCAGTTGGTTAGCTACATGTAGCTAGGATACTGTCATCAGTGTACTGAGCATGTGCAGGAATGCAGGAACTGAAATTGCACTTATTTCCTTTGTCTTGGATGAGCCATGTGGTTTGACTAGATGTACAAGTCTATATTCTGCTCATTGATTGGTTAAAGGTATATGTGGGTGTAGCTATTAATGGGAGGAGTTATAGTGCTATATAAGGAATGTACACTATGTGTTGGTCTCTCAGATCCTTTGGAACAGGAGTTCATCTGAGACCCGATCGGTAATGTGAATAAAGGCCTGTTACTTCCTGAAGACCTGTGTCCAATATTTCTGTGTTTGGCTTCTGCATGCTTACACTGCAACAGTTGCAGGTTGTGGTAGCCGCTGTGGCCCTGTCTCTATCTCCCGCCATGTCTGAGCAGCCTCTCAGGGGTGGACCGGGGTAACCCCCACCGGTCCAAGGGGGGAGGTAACGGGGTTCTCGTGCCATGTTGTGTGCCTTTGAGCTGCTCCGGGCCGGTGGATCGTTAAATTATTTTTTTTATGTTATTTTTTAACGTATTTACATATTTAATTTTTTTATATTATATATAAATATATATATATATATATATATAACAATAATGATATATATATTTAATCTTTATCAGTCTATGTGTAATTTGATATTAATATATATATATATATATATATATATATATATATATATATATATTAATAGTAAAATACACCTAGACGGTGTACGTGTATGTATGTATATGTGTGTATATATACTTAGATCATATATATATATATATATATATATATATATATATAATATATATATATATATGATCTAAGTATATATATATATTTTTTTTTTTTACACTAATACATTTTATTTTAATTTTATTTTCAGCCAGCAGGGGGACCACCTGTCATTACAGGCAGCCCCCCTGCTGGCAATGCAGGAGACAGCCTACCCGGCCATGTGATTGTGGGGTCCTCACAAGGACCCCACTCTCACATGGCCGGGGGGCACCGGAGGAGGAGGATCTGCTGCGGGGGGGCTCCCTGGGAGTCCCCTCCACCGCGATCGCCGGCATGGGACTGCCGGCGACCGGGTAAGTAGGCAAAAACCGGAGGGCGTACAATTACACCCGGCGGCGTTTAGAGCCGCCTAAAATAGGGCGTAATTGTACGTCCTCCGGTCAGAAGGGGTTAAATATAGTCTCCTCCTTTACTGTGTTGATTCCCTTTATGTATTTAAATGTTTGTATCATATCCCCCCTGTCTTACATATCCCCCCCTGTAAATCATTACTCTAAAAAGGTTGATCCCCAGATGTTTTAAAACTACAGCTTTCATGATGCTCATACTAAAGGCATTGCAAACCCATGCAAAACATCATGAGAGTTATTCTACACCATCCGGGAACCTACCTTTTGGGCACCACTGCTCTAAAACTTATCTAGGTGGGGTTTTCTTAGAAGAGTGTGTAGGGATAGGGTCTTCTTAAAATAAGGGTGGGGGGTGGAATCATGTGCATAGAAGAGACTGCGTACATGACGTCCTTGCAGTGTACAAGATTGTCTTGTGATTTAGCTAAACAGAGATTAACACTTTCATTTCTTTTCTTCCCTTTATTCCTTTTTGATGCTGACTGCATTGATTGAAAGAGGAAGACTGCATTCATAGAGCCAATATTTTAATGCCCTGGCTAATGTTTATCTAGCACTGCCTACCCAAAGGACCTGTATCTTTGTATTGTATATTTATGGTTTTGTATGCACATCTCGCTTGGGAAAAGGGGTTGTGTTTATATGTTTGTCTCTGAAAAGGCAGGTACATGCTATAGTCACCAGAACTGCTACATTAAGCTGCTGTGATTCTGGTGACTATATTTACGGTAAAAGGGTCTGAATGTGGAGAAAATGTGGAGAAAAACAAATCTTAAACCTAAACAGGGGGCTGTAAGACATTCTACATTAGGGGGAGGCATAAAGAATGATTTATAGTTCTAACAGAACTGATTTAAGAATATTCTGACATTCTGGTTTTGTGAAATATTTTGGGGAGGCTCCCAGTGCATGATTAACTATCTTGCATTATAGTCGATCTAGCATTGTGTAAAGGAGGGGTTCCCAATACATTTTTCTGTGGAACCTTTTGACATAATGTGCTAACAACGTGGAACCCTCCCAAAATTATGGTGCCTTAGTGCAAATAGTAAACAGATAGTAGTACTTAGGAGCAGGTGTGCTTTTTATGTGTACAGTTGTTGTTTGTATATAATGTTAGCGTTTTGATGCAGGGGTGTGTTTTATATGTAATGTTTGCATTTGTGTTCAGGGGTGTGTTTGTATGTAATGTTTGCTTTTGCGTGCAGGGGTGTGCTTGGATGTAGTGTAAGCTTTTAAATGTGGATGTACATTTGTGTGTAGTATGAGTGTTTGAGTGAAGGGTGTGTTAGTGTTTATATATAAATGTGAATCCAGGGGTTTTTGTATGTAATGTTTGTGTTTGCATGTTGTGTTGGTGTTTGATTGCTGGGATGTATGCACATATGATTGCTGTACGTATGCCACGTACGTACGTACATATGTACATACATACACAAACAAATTAACACATAAACACATATATAAAAACATTGACACACACACACATTCATATACACACAGACACAAAGATACACACCTTGACACCAGTGGCGGATCCAGAGCCTGATCTCGGGAGGGGCACTTGTAGATTATTTAAATAAATAATCCTGGCACAATAACCACTACAGCTCAGTGTAGTAGTTATGGTGCCAGTAGTGCCAGGATCCCACCCCAGAGTAAGTAGTCATACCATTTTGGAACAGTTTGACAACTAACCTGGGGTCTGCTGGGATATAGGGCATAGGAGCAGCGGTGTGTTAGGGGTGAAGTGTGTGTGAAAGGTGTGTGTGAGCGGTGAAGTGAGTGCGTGAGGGCGGCAGTGTATGTCAGGGTTGCAGTGTGTGTTAGGGGGCAGTGTATGTGTGGGGCAGTGTGTGTAAGGGTGGCAGTCTGTGTATGGGGGCATTGTATGTCTGTGTGGGGCAATGTGTGTATGGGGGGGCAGCAGTGTGTGTAGGGCACTGTATGTGTCTGTGTGTATGGGTGTGCAGTGTTTGTGGGGCAGTGTGTGTGTGGGCAGTGTGTGTGTGTGGGCAGTGTGTGTGTGGGGGCAGCGTGTGTATGGGGGCAGTGTGTGCGTATATGGGGGGCAGTGTATGTGTGTGTGTGGGGGGCAATGTATGTGTGTTTGGGGAGCAGTGTGTGTGTGTTTGGGGAGCAGTGGTGTGTGTTTGGGGCAGTGTATGTGGGGGCAGTGTTTGTGTGTTTGCGGGGCAGTGTATGTGTGTGGGGGGCAGAGTATGTGTGTCTGGGGTGCAGTGTATGTGTGTTTGGGGGCAGTATATGTGTATGTGGGGGGTGTATATGTGTATGTGGGGGCATTGTATGTGTATGTGGGGGCAGTGTATGTGTATGTGGGGCAGTGTGTATTGTATGGGGGCAGTGTATGTGTATGTGGGGGGCAGTGTATGTGTGGGGGGCGTGTATGTGTGTGTGGGAGAGGAAGGAGGGTATGGAGGCTTTTCTAAAAAAAATAAAAAAATATTTAATAAAATATATTGATGTCCCCCCTCCCTTCTTACCTTTGTTGAGGAGGAGGGGTCACATTTCTCCGTCCCTGGTGGTCCCAGTGGGGATTCATTGGTGGTTCCAGTGTGGAGTGAAGTCTAGCCCACGCTCCAGGGCTAGACTTCACTCTCGCAAGATTTGGAGCGTTGCCATGGCAACGCCCCAAATCTCGCGAGAGGAGGACCCGGAGGAGCTGCTGGTAAGAGCTCCCGGGTCCTCACTCCCTACCCCGCTGGCTGTCAGCAATGTGCCTGCGGACCGGGGAGGGAGATCTCTGATCTCCCCTCTGGTCCGTGAAGGCACATTGCAGGGCTGGCACTTGGACAATGCCAGCCCTGCATTAGCCGGCAGGGGAGAATCTCGGGGGGGGGCAATTGCCCCGTTGCCCCCCCCCCCCTGGATCCGCCAATGCTTGACACATGCACAGACCTTGATATACAGATACATACTGGCGCGCACACACACACACACGTACTGACATACACACACTCAGATACACACTGACACACATATTCTTTCAGATACACATACACTCTCACTGACAAAAACACATACTCTTTGACAGACACACATACAAACACATATACACTCTCACTTACAAACACTTACACACTCACTGACAAGCACATTTACACTCTCACTGACAAGCACACATACACACTCACTGACAAGCACACATACACACTCACTGACAAGCACACATACACACTCACTGACAAAAACACATACACTCACAGTGACAAACACACATACACACACACTGACAAACACACACTCTCACTGACAAATACACATACACACACTCACTGACAAACACATACAAACTCCTTAACAGACACAATTTTTTTTCACTCCACCCAGCCTCCTTACCTTTGGATTTTCCTGGGGTCCAGTGGGGCTGCTGGGCTGAGCGGCTGGCGTGCGGGCTTACAGTGCGGGCGGCGAGGGAGCAGTGATCTTCCTGCTCAGCTCTCTCGCGCGCCTCTTAGTCATGCCGGGGCTGGAGTCACGTCAAATTCCGGCTTCGTCCTCACTGCGGTGTGCGCAAGGGAGTTGTGCAGGGGAGAGTGCTCCCTCGCCGCCCGTATCAATTATCAGCCGTGGCCATTTTGTTTCCCCAAATTCTGGCAGAACCCCTTTTGTGTTCTCGTGGAACCCCAATTGGGATACGCTGGTGTAAAGAAAAAATAAAACTCTAAAACTCATGTGACCTGCTTTCCTGTGATTTTTATGTTTTACCTAGCTTCTGTTGCTCTTTACCCGTTGCTCTGTTACTTGAACTTTGGCATGTTGTATTATCAAGCCTATGATGCAATCTCTCACAAGAACTGTGTTGACCCTGCTTGACTACTATACACTAGATTTCTTCTTTTAGTATGAATAACTTCAAAAGCTGTGTTCTGCAGACATTTCAATATCATAGTTGGGGTGAAGCAAGCAGAGTGGAAAGGGACTTTTTGTTGTTTTTGTGCATGGGCAGTGGATACATAACGAGTACTGGGAGGAGCTGATTTCACTATAAATTGAAGGTTGTGTATTTATAGGAAAATTATTATATTAGAAATGTATCATTAACTCTAACAATGCAAATAAACATATATACAGTTAGGCCTGGAAATATTTGGATACTGACACCAGTTTTGTTATTTAAGCTCTTTGCCAAAATCAATTCAAGTTATTGTTAAATAATTAATATGGTCTTAAAGTGTAGTATTTAATTTACGGGTATTCACATCTAGATTGGAGGAATGGTTTAGGAACTCTTTAATATGTAGTCCCCTATTTTTTTATGAGACTAAAAGGAATTAGACAATTGACTCAAATGATCTTTAATGGACAGGTGTGAGCTATTCCTTCATTATTTCTTCATCAATTAAGCAGGTAAAAGGTCTGGAGCTGATTTCAAGTGTGGCATTTTCATTTGGAAGCTGTGAACCAACAACATACAGTCAAAGGAGCTCTCAATGCAAGTGAAACAGGCCATCTTTATGTTGCCAAAATAAAAAAGTAAAGAATATATAGATTCCAAAGCACGAGTATCTAAATAAAAAAATAAAAAAAAAGGAAAAAGAACGCCCAATTAGTTGTATTAATTGAAACTTGATCACAGGATGGAACGCATATGCGTCCCAACAATACCCGGAACCGGATGTACACAGCCAATATCCCTGCCCAGGTCTCCAGTATCGGAGACAGTGCCAAAACTAAGTAGAGACGCGTGGGTGCATACATCATATTGCGCGTGCGTGAGCAACGCTTGGAACGCATGATGTGCTCCAAAATCATTAACTATAATGATAGCGTGTACATCATATAGTGCATGTGCGAGCAACACTTGGAACTTCAAGATTCAGACATAAAAAAGCAAGTGCTGGCCAACCAACCCGACATTGTGGTGGAAGACAAGGAACGGAAGACTGCAGTCATGGTGGATGTGGCAGTACCTAGTGACTATGACATCAGGAAGAAGGAACATGAGAAAATTGAGAAATACCAAAGACTAAAAGAAGAGCTAAAAGGGATGTGGAAAGTGAAGGCAGTAGTTGTGATAGGAGCACTCGGAACTGTGACTCCCGAGTTGGGGGAGTGGCTTCAACAGTGGCTTCAGAAGAGTGCAGTTCTAGGAACAGCTAAGATACTGCGCAGAACCCTCAGACTTCCAGGCCTCTTGTAGAGGACCCAAGAATGAGGAATAAACACTGTGCAATTCATTTCGGTCTGAATATGAATTTGGATGAATTTCGGGCAATTCGGACATTCGGGTACTTCCGAATGTCCAAATAGCCGATGTGCCGAATTGCCAAGGTCCCGAAGTTCCCGAAATTACTGAATTTCTGAAGTGTCGAAGTTCCGAAGTACAGTATTGCCTAAGTACTAATATACTTACCCAGTGGAAGAAGAAGAATGTTACACTGTATACAAGTTTAAATAAAAAGTATACATACATAGCCAGGATTCAGCTGTAAGCATTTGCAACACTTACAACAATCAAGTAACATACATTTATTTAAAATGTAAGTTACTTAGCCTGTCAACGGAATGACAGAAATTAATAAGTAGATAACTCCCTAATTCCCACGGTATTAGGGAGCCATCTACTAAAAGGCTGAAAGATCTGAATTGGTCCGATCAGAGTGTTATGAGTCAAATTCCACAGCGTGGGAAAATTCCAAAGAACTTTCCCACGCTGTGTAAAATGACACAGAGCACTCTGGTGGATTTCAAGCTAACCAATCAGAGTGCTGTGACCGGTAAATGTAGAGACTTACCTGTGTAATTTGACTCATAACTCTCTGATTTGTGGACCAATCAGAGTGTTATGAGTCAAATTCCATAGCGTGGGAAAATTCCAAAGAACTTTCCCACACTGTGTAAAATGACATAGAGCACTCTGGTGGATTTCAAGCTAAAATGGGGGGGCTGAAAAAAGAAGATTTTAGAAGAAAGAAGACATCAAATGGTAAGTTTTATTTTATTTTATTTTTTTTTTACAGGTACCACGGGACCCCGAAGGAACAGGTCACGTCCGCAACCGATTGCAGGAGCTGGGCACACACCGATGACTAGGCAGAACCCACACACAGAAAATCCTCAAGGTAATGAAGAACGGATTCGTGACCCGACTCCACTCTCACCACCAATTCCAAAAAGGAAATGAAGCATTCAAAATAAAAACACGAAATCGCGCACCCCATCGGAAGGCACATATCTTCATAGAAATGCCCTTCAAAGGCACAACCCAGGAAGTGATGACACTTCAGATGCACCAGGAGGAGCCGAAACGCTGATTTCACATCAGTTTTTTGCCATTAATGCCCGCAGACCTGCGGCTCTCACCATCCTCTCTGCCGCATCAAACGAGGCGTAGGACACACTGCATAGCTCCGCTGCAATGTCATCATTCACCAAACCCCCATGAGGATGAGACAAATGATGAATCAATCTAAATTTTCCCAATTCCTTCTTCGGCACAACCCGCCATGCGTCCCAGCGCCCCTTCTTTCACTAATTTTTCCCGTACTACCGCCAGGTGATCCCTCCCCAACTGAAGGTTACGACAAGCTGCGATCGCCACCCGTTCCCGGTGAGGGATCCAGTAACCTTCCCCAAAACCCCCGAGCAGCAAGGCAGCCGCCTTCTTCTTCTTATAAAGGTTTAGCAAGGGGCACATCGCGTCGATGTCCACTGGGGTCCTCGCCCTTAGTCCCCAGGGCTTCTCCTTTGTCACCAGATCTGCCCTGCTTAAAGCAGCTGGAAGTGGGGTGGGAACGTCCGCACCCCGAGCACTCATGCTTAAATCTACAGCCAGCGCTGTAGTAATTGTATTGCCAACAACATCCCACTCTGCACTGACCAGCCAATGCAGCGGGCGAAGTCCCTGCGCCGGCTCCTCCGAGAAATGACGAGATTCCTCCCTGGTGTGAGGCTGTGCAACTCATGATTGCCAGCCACAGACCAATGTCCAAGGACCGACAAATGTTGGCGGAACTGCTTGTTGTACCGCCACCATCCCAACCCCCATAGAACCGACACGCATTCCAAATAAGATCCTGGTAGCAAAAAAGGGGAGAGCATTTCTCTGGTGCTTTTCCCCCGATCTCACTGGCCAGGATAGAAAAGGCCCGAATCCAGTTACCAAAAGTGTGCTACGCTCCCAGGAATTCAGGGAACCCTGCATACTCTTAACAAGATCACCCAAGTCTTGAGACCTCCACCCTGCTAGAATACTCACCGATGGACGCAGGAGAAGTAGGCAACAGTGAAAGCGAGCCAGGGCCCCCAGGCTGAGGCAGCTCCAAAGGAACCGCAACCGCAGGAAGGACTGCACCAGTTATGGTGTTGGAAGACCGGTGGGAAGCTGTGCAGGAGTGACCTGTGAAGACAGCAAAGGTAAGTGAGATCCCAGCCCACCTACCCCAGCAGACAAAGGCCCTGCCACAAAGGAGCTGGAACGAAGCCCAATAGGGACAGGCCCAGATGAGACAGAGGGGAAAGCAAGAGGGGAAGGAGGGGGGCTGTCAGACTCACTAGCCGACCCAGATTCTATGCCCTGGCCCCCAACCCCCCTGATATAGGGGAAACCCTCCTGCAAAAACTGCACCTACTCACCCTCCTAGAGGATTGCCTGGCTGAGGATGCTGGGGCTGGAGACTGCACCCCTGACGTCTTCTGTGTAGGCCGCAAAGGCCTCTGTCCAGTTGGGGACCCGGAACAAGCAGGGCGGGCTGCCGTGATCAGCCGCGCAGCCCAGAACGTCCTGGAGGTGAGGGACCTCGCGGCCACAATGCGCCCGGCCCGCGAGAAAGTGGAAGCTGGGGCAGCAGAAGCAAGCAGGGCCACACTACCCATGCTCGTGGCCGCATGGTGCCCAGCCCACGAGCCCGCTGAAGGGGGCATGTTCCTCCCCCTGGCCTGTGGAGTACTCACGGCCGCCAGGTGTCCGGCCCTAGTGAGTGTGGAGGTCGGGCTACTCTGCATAGCCAGTCCATGGCTCACGGCCGCATTGCCAGCCCTGCATTAGCCGGCAGGGGAGAATCTCCGGGGGGGGCAATTGCCCCGTTGTCACCCCCCCGGATCCGCCACTGGCCCCTCCGAGGGACTAGAACTTTGCAGCAAGCCTCTCCTCGAGACCAGGGTAGCTGCTTACACAGGGTCGCCGTTGCCAGTCGTCTGGTGGGTATTAAATCGG